TGAAGCAGCTCTTCTGGGGACATTAGTGTTGGAGGAGAAAGAGCCTCCAGTTTCCAGGAGATCCTTCTTTTCATTGGAAGGAAATGCATTACATGGCTGGTCAGCACTGGATGCTCAGTGTAGGAGTCCTGTGGTGGTTTTACACTGCTCCTGGCTGTGAAAAGCCCTGTGAGTGTCAGGTACAGCCCCAGCCACCAAGAACTGTCCTGCCAGGCATGGTTGTGGTGCCACGACTGCCCTGGGCAGCTGCAGACAGTCACCATCAGGCTGCGGTCAGGCTTGGCTTTGTGCACAGAGAATTTCGGCCCCAGAGTTGACAGCAGAAGAGTCTCCAAAACCCAGGCAGTAAAGGTGATCATTGAGGTGTTGGGACAAGAAATTACAAGAGACTTGTGCAGTCTCTCGAATCCAGATGGAGTAGCAATCAAAAGGAATATGAAATTAAGAAAAATGTAGGGAATGCACATAAAAATCCTGTCCTGGGGCGAGCTGTTTCCCAAGAATCACAGAACCAGAGTTTCTTTGATTAGGAGCATAATACTGAGCCTGACAAAAAATGGGCTCAGTTGGGAAATGGCCCTGGTTTATGTGGTAGGACATAAAATAGAAAGTAATGGAAGTTCTTCATGGGCAGTGCAGAAACTGGACAAACCCTGACACAAATAATTACTTACTGTGCAATTACCTTGGCACCAGAGCATCAGACCAAGCCCAGCTCCTGTTAGAATTCAGCATCACTGTATATGAAGTAGTAGTCTGTCTGTCTGTCTGCATCCTGTCTCTGTCCTCAGGCCACCCAGAGGAACGCCATGGCTGTGGTTTTCTGCCCCGTCAAATCAAGTTAAGACCAGCTAGTAGGTTCAAAAATTAGAGGGAATGGTACTGAGAAAAAGAGATGGAGCTGCAAAACACAAAGCTTGGGATCATATAAGCCATGACTTCTTTAGACTGCAAAATGGTCTGTGCTCCAGAAGGGCTGGGGGGGCTCGGGCACATCTGTGTGAGATGGGATGGTGTCGTGAATGAGCGGCTTAGGTCACTTAAAGGGTCACTGACAAATGTATCAGCAAAAGCAAGTTTGAATGTAAGTTTGTGAAACTGCAACTTCACAGAGTTTGATGGGCAACATCCACTCAATCACTTCCTGCGTGGATGATACAGAGGAAAATTGACCAAAATAATCTTAAAAGGATTTTCTTGGAGACCAGAGATGCAAAAGGATGAGAGTGCAAAGGGTAAGGAAGACCCATTGGGCCATGAGGTTCAGAGTGGCCAAACAGCCTCAGACTTGATCAACTGCTTTGTGTCTGCAGGATTTAGAAAATGGGACGGGACGGGACGGGACGGGACGGGACGGGACGGGACGGGACGGGATGGGATGGGATGGGATGGGATGGGATGGGATGGGATGGGATGGGATGGGATGGGATGGGATGGGATGGGATAGCCAAGTGCGGTGGGGACGTAGCCCTAAAGGGACCAGGGCTCTGAGCCGCTCCGCTGCGAAGGGCAGAGCCCGCAGCCGAGGGATGCGGGAGCGGGTCTCTCCTGCCCCCCGGTGCCCGGGCCGCCCCGGGACCACCTGCCCGCCCCTCTCCGCTCCGGCAGAGCCTCCCGCAGCGCCCGGCTCCATCCCCGGCCACATCGCTCCCCCCGCCGGCCGCTCCGCGCCGCTGCCAGGAATGGGATCGACCGGGGGAGGAGCAGGACGAGGAGGAAGGAGAGACGCGCCTCTCGCAGTTTCGGGGGGCAGGGGGGGGACTTGCTTCCTTCCCTCTGCCCTCCCGGCCGCAGGGAGATGCGTCTCTCCACATGTTTCCCCCGCCATTGTCTCTTCGCTTGAGGCTGGGCAAGATTTTACTGAATTCGTCCATCTTTGAAATATGTGAGATTTTAAGCCAAAAGGATGCTCCGCGGTGGATATGGGCAGTTTGGAAAGCTGCTCCTCAAGCCGGAGCAGGGCAGAGGGGTGGAGGTGATCCTGACACTGGGGCACACTCTCTGTGCCAGACCCATGATAAGATCCCCCCTCACCAGGAATTCTGGATGTGCTTGAACTGCTGTGAGAGGGAGACCTGTCTGTAAGATTCCCATGGGAATGGTAATTCCATCAACCCCACCACCCTGGGTACCTGAACACGGGTCAAAGCCCTCAGTTACACGGTTCAATTTTCCTTTGCAGGGCTGATTTTAGCTGATGGGACTTGAACCTATGTGAAATACCAGCCTTCATACATGGAGCCTGAGGGAATGATGTGAAGCTGTGTTAGGGGAGGCTTAGATTGGATATTATCAAATATCCAGAGGGTATTGGGCACCAGAAGAGGTTCCCAAGGGAAGCCACAGCTGACTTCAAGAAGTCTTTGGACAACACTCTCAGGCACATGGTGTAATTCTTGGGGTTGTCCTGTCACAGAAATTGGACTCAGAGATCCTTGTGTGTCCCTTCCAACTTAGAATTTCCTGTGATTCCATGATTCTGTGCTATAGGACGGATATAATTCCATGGGTTTCCAGTGTCACTGTTAGTTAGAGTAGAAGCAGCTCCAGATGCAGCTATACCTTGCAAGCAGCGAGGCTCTGAGTCCAGGCTGTTTCCAGGTGTGTGACTACAGTAGTCATGGTAATCCCTGGCTTGTCATCTCTTTCATCACCTGCATTTTGTACATTTAAGCCACAAAACTTAATGCAGTATTTATGCCACAGTTTGTTTCTCTTACAAAAGTAAGGGTCAGAAAAAGAGACAGGACAGCAAAAATCTCTACAGAAATCTTTGTTTGCCTCATCTTTCCTCTCTTGAATGCAGGACATGGCTCAGTGAGTAACTGCACCAAAAGGAACCATCTCTGCAGATGCACTGTAGCACTCGGGTCAGGCTGGTGCTGGTTTTGGATCCAGATCTGTCTGTTATTTTTCTATTTCTTTTTTTTTCAGGTTTGCAAACTGTGTCCTCAGTCAGCACAAACCACAGGGAGAATTTCCACTCGGAAAGTACAGGCAAGTTTTCTTTACTGCTGTGCAGGCACGGGAAGGCTCCATTTCAGCTCTAACAGGGAAAGGGCTGTTCTGTTCCACCCTTGCTGACTGTCTGGGTCTGAAAGCTCAAAGAGGCCAGCTTATTCCTCAAGTCCTGACATAACCCCTTGTATGGCATTTTCCCCACGGCAGTGAAATTCCAGCCACTTGATATTTCAGGCTGTAACCTTTGAAGGGTTAAGAGAGCCCCAGCTTCAACCTCCTGAGCTCATTCTGATGCTCAGTTAAAGCCAGGGCAGCTGCATTTTGTTATAGCACTGGGCTGGCTCCTTTGGGCTCTGCCAGACTGATAGGACACGAGTGCTGTCCCATAGGATGGGACATGGCCTTGGAGACGGATCACTGCACCCTTCCAGAGCCGTGATAACCAGCTCTGCTGCTGCATTTCCTGAGCTTGCTGGGACTTAGAGCTGACTTGTGCACCAGAGGGGAAGGCAGGGGAGAGGAGGGCTGGAAAGCCTTCCCTTGCACTGGACCCAAGCTCCCGTGCCTGTCTGGCAGGAGGGCTGAGCTGGAAGGAATGCAGCTGCATCTCACGGGGGAGTGGAGCGAGGGTTTCTGGCTGAGAGCGAGTGACTGGAAAGCAGGTTTGCACAGGATGGCTGATCTCCTCCAGCCCCTGCCTGTCTTCCTGCCCTCTCCCCTGCCCAAACCTTCTCTCAACAGCTCTCCAGGCCTGGAGGTGGGTCACATCCAGCGGCTCCTGCAGGAGTCATGAGCAGTGGTGCCCCTCTCTGTGTCAGGTCTGCCAGTTTGTAGCAGCCGCTCCCACCGGGGAGGCATTCACTATGTCTCCGTTAAGAACCCCCCTTTGGCTAATAGCCCAGGGAAGTGGTGTGGCCAAGTGGAATGGGTGCTGTGCTTCAAGGCAGGGGTGGAAAACCCTCACCAGGCCCCTCTGGGCAACAGCTTTCCCACTGGGGTCAAACACCTTGGCAATACAGAGTGACTGTGTTCTGTGGGATCTGCCCAGGGCTCTGCAGCCAGGAGTGACCCTGTGCAGGATCTGACCCGACAGCTCTGCTGGGAGCACATCCCACAGGGGCTGTCAACAGGGACCTCACAGCTGAGCCAGAGCTCTTGCAACTTGGCTATTTTTAGCCCATGCCAATGGGGTGTTTATTTTCCTACTGTTGTGCCTTTTTGCCTTTCCCAGAGATTTTATTGCTGATGAAAGCAAGGGCCTGAGAGCCATGTGAGCGTCTGTGCTGGCTGCTGCAGTGACCCTGTCTCTGCCCACATGTTACCCATCCACTATTACCCAAGCCCTTGACAGTGATGGGCTGGAATGGGCAGAAGCACCTCAGCTTACCTTGGACCAGAACCTTTTTTGGGGCTAGGAGACCTGTGGTAACAGATTGAACCAATGCAAGAGGTTGGTGTTGAGGGGCCAGTCCCTCTTACCAGGATGGGATGATGAAACAGAGGAACATTGCAGGCTGGTTTATTGTCAGTGTTTCAAATCAGTATTTTTTATTACAGAGACTCATAGGGTTGCTCACACTGTGGCAGGAATTTAATAATATAAGGCACAGGGAACATTCAAAGGTAAAAAAAGAGCTCTCAGCCTGTGAGATTTAGCCATCACTTTGCTCCTGACAGGACCCTCTCTTATAAAGCAAAATCAAAATACCTTCTCCTTTTCATCCTATGCATCCTTTAAATCCACAACAAGAAAAAAATATTACAGCCTTTCCCTCGAGCATGTGGCAAATGCCACTTTCTGGACAGAATTATCCCTTCCAAGTCTGACACAGCTTCCCTGGGACAGCAGGGCTGGAATTTAAGCACAGCCAAGGCAGAGGGGTGGGAAGTGCTTAAGGGCACTGTGATTTGGGGAGAGCCAAGAGCTTTATCTCACCTACAGCTGAATCACAACATCACGGTGAGCCACACACACCCCGGGGAACAGGCGGCCACACCCCAACTCGCACAGAAAACACGACAGCAGCGTGGTCATTGAGTGATGGTGAAGCATGTAGCACTTTCAAACCTTTATTATTCATGAGGATTTTACAGGATGGGAATAATTTCATCTCATTTGTTTTAAATTCTGTGCGCTTCCCTGTTCACTTGTTCAATTTCTTTTTTTTCCTTTTTTTTCGTGCCCAATAACTGCTAAATTCAAGCCCTGGGAATGGGAGGGGAAAGGAAAAAAAAAAAAAGAAAACCAAAATCCTACCACTCTCTGTCTTTCTCACCACTCTCCATCCTTCCTACCACAAGCTGGGTGGCCACAATGCCACCTGCAGCTGCTCTGCTTGAGAAACCAATCCTCCTACATCCTCTGGCTCTGCCTTCCCTCCCTGGCATCTGTGGCTGGGGCGGTGAATCAGCTGAGAGGGTTTTGTGTCTGCCGTGTCCAGGAAGGTGCTGTTAGTGAGAAGTTAAGAGAAGTCAATCCCAGAGCGGATGGTGAGCAGATATTTAGCACAGGAACAATCAGCGGTAAAGACATGTGGAGAGAGAAAAGGCTGGTAAGAGCATGTGGAAACAGCTGGGTGAGTAATCTAGTGGTAATAGATAAGGCAATGAACAGGACTGTTATTTCTCTTAGCACCGTCACTACATATGTTTAGACCTATATTAGCACCTTGTTCCCAGGGAAAAACAAAACAAAACAAAACAAAAGCAGTTTAAAAATCAAAGGAAGTGGGAAGGTTAAAACATGACAAAGTTGGCAGCAGAGCAGGAAGACGAGTTTAGATCACAAGATCCTTGTCGATGTCCTCTGTGGAAGGAAAAGAGAGGGACAAAGTTAGGAGGTCCCACTGTTCCTGTACCCTTCCCTCTCCCCCTGCTTCCCCTCACCCAGGGCTGGCTGTAATGCATTGCTTCATCCACGGTGGGGGTTCTGGGGGTGCTCTCCAGTGTCCCCTCACCCCCATTCCTGCCCTCCTCAGCACTTACGCTCCTTGATGCCAAAGCAGCTTGCCCACTCCTCCAGGGCGATGTACTTGTCGTTGTCCAGGTCACAGGCCTCGAAGAAGCGAGTGGTGCAGTGCTCCATGGGGATCAGGGGGGCACGCAGCGGGGCCAGCTCGGTGTGGGACAGGTACCTGCCAAGGTGACCACACTGTCACAGCACGGAAGATGCTGTGGCCTCAGCTCTCTGGTTTGGCTGCTGTCCCAGTGCCCTCCCAGTATCAGCCACTGAGTGTCACAAGGGTCAAGGACTGGTATCTGCCTTCGCAGATCACAAAATTTTGATTTGTGATTTTGCTGGTCACAAAATAGCCACCAGCTGGGGGTCCCTGCCAGCTGCCCCCACCCCACAGGCCTGTGTGTGATCACTCTCATGCCCATCTACAGCCCACAGCTAAGCCAGCAGCTGCTATCTCAGCTGGTGAAGTTATCCCAGGGCCTTTGGACTAAGATATTTTAGGGCACTATCATAGAACAGTAAATCTGAGAAGAGAGAAACTCCATGGCAGCAGCTGGGGCTGTGGGAGGCCCCTCTTCCTGCAGAAGAGCAGTTTGCAGGAGGCAAAGGTGCCTCTCCCCCAGTCTGGTTTGCCACAACCTCTGCCACCAGCCACTTGTGTCTGGAAATGCTCTTTCCAGCCTGTCTTGACAGCTTCTACTGCCAAATCCCCCTGGTCCTCAGGCAGGAAATGGTTCTGGTGGGGCCCTCGTCCTGCTCTGCTGGCACTCACCCATCAATGGGGTGCTGGTCCAGCTGCCCAAACTGCCAGTGCACAGGGAAGATGTACATGTTGTAGTTCTTCTCAAAGTCCCGGGCCAGGAGCTCCACGGTGTGGTCACCGGCCTCCAGGCGCTTCTCATTCTCATGGATCTTCTTCACCTGCCATGGAAGAAGGGGGGAAATGTCAGCAGGGAAATGGAGTGCAAGGGGGGACCTTGGGAGGTCACAGGTCATTCTGGACGGGTGCTGGCCCCCATTGTGGGGGTGAGCTCCCAGCCCCCTTCCCCTGTCCCCCACCTTGAGCTTCTGCTTCTCGGTGAGCAGGTTGTTGTCCTCGTCGCGCTCGTACAGAGTGATCAGCACGTTCTTGAGCCAGTCCCGCATGCGCAGGGGGAACTCGGTCAGCTCTGTGTCCAGGCAGGCTGGGATGACTGCAAGTCACACACAGTGGTCAGTGCAGCATCTGGACATGCAGCCCCGGTGCCCTCTCCCACCTCATCCTCAGGACCTTTGCTCTCCATCAGGCTGTGAACGTGGGGGCTGTGCCCAGCTATGGGCCCCTTGGCTGAGTGAATGGCTCCACTTACATTTGCAAGGCCCAATGTAGTCCAGGTGCAGCTTGTGTCCCTTCTTGGTTCCCTCCAAGGTGCACTTAGTGGCAAAGAAATGGCAGGAGGAGTCGTAGGTCTTGTTGTCAGTGCCACAGACCTGCACAGGAAGGGGAGATGCTGTGTGAGGGGCAGGGAGAGCCTCCAAATGAGATGTTTTAACTTGTTTTCTGGGGTGGGCAATGGTTCCTTCTTCATCCCTAGATGGGGACCAGCCACTCTGACTCAGTCTCCATGTGTCACCATCTCGGGCAAAGCCCATGTGGGTCCCTCCCTGCCCTGGGCCACCAAGCAGATCCTGCCCTCACCTTCTCGAAGACGCCGGCGGTGGCGGGGCAGCTGGAGGGGTCCTGGCACACACACATGGGCGAGTTGTTGTCATCCACCTCACACACCTTGCCGTGCTTGCAGTGGTGGTTCTGGCAGGGGTCTGGAGCAGGAGGGGATCAAAATCAGAGCCAGACACATCCTCACCTCCCACAAGATGCTCAGGACACCTCAGCACAGAGGGAAGACTGAGACTTCACCAGGGACGGCCCCTAGCATCCATTCTTGTACTGGGAAGATGTGAGGATTTCCAGAAGTCCATGTTAGCCCTGAGCCTAGTCTTGGACTCCTTTCTGTTGCCACACCAATGGTTTTTTTGTTGCAAGAATGGGCTTACAGAGAGCCCAGGGCTAGAAGAGGCCATGTGCCTCTTTTGCTTTAAATGTGCATCCAGGCTGGCATTGTCCTTGTGCTACAGCCCTTCCCAAACGAGCCCCTCACTGTCTGGGCGGCTAAAGCTCCCCCACAGTGAGAGGACAGTGTCCCTGCTGGCTGGAGGGCAGGGGAAGAGTGACTTACTCTCTGCAACAATCTCTTCTACATCCTCCGTGGGTTCCTCGAACTCTCCCACCTCCACCTGGACGGGATTAGCTCCCACGGGCTCCTGCAGAACAGGTCGGTGTTTCTGCTGTGGGTGCACAGCCCCAGCTCCTGGAGGGCACAGCACCCCCCCATGGCTCCCCAGAGCTTTGGAGATGCTCTTTCCAGAGCAGTGGGTGCTGAGGGGATGGGTGAGGAGGAGGGACAGAACCACATACCTCTGTGGTGGGATCTTCGATGACCTCTGTCTCATCAGGCAGAGCCTCCTGCTGCAGAGGAAAAGGCACATGAGGGGGTTCCATAGGACAGTCCCAAGGGGGGTGACCCACTGGAACAGGCAGTAGGGCCACCCTCAAGTTGTCTCTCATTCCTCAGGAATGTATTTGTTATAAAAGAAAAGCCCCATTGGCTACTCCAGATGGACAACCCAACATCAGAGGCTCTGCTGCCTCCTGCACTTACCGGTGCTGCCAGGGCTTTGCCTGCCAGGCAGACAAGGAAGAAGATCCAGGCCCTCATCTTTCAGCAGACCTTGAATAAAGCAGAGGAAAAGGAGAGATGAGGAAGGAGGCCACTGTGTGCCGCTGGGCTCTGGGCTGAGCACTCAGACACTTTGAGAAGGGCGTTCTCTCCATTTCCTGCCTCGTCTGTTCAATAGTACAGACCCACATGCTGGCTTTTCTAGCCAAAACCTTGAGCCAAATCGTGTTTCCAAGATAAATTCGTTTGACTTTGCAAATGAGACAGTGGAGTTTAGATGTCTGTTGCTTTCCTGGATGCCTTTAGGAAAATCAATCAAAATGTCTCTTTCTTTCTCTGGAAGTTTTTTTTTTCACCAATCCCCCCACATTTTTCTTGTTAAAAATCCCCCAATATGAGTGCCAGGTACAAGGAATGAAACTCTCTCATCTTAGTTGTCAATCAGAAAAAATATGGAAGTGGATGAAGGAAAGAGGTAACAGAGAGACAATGACACAGAGCACTGAGAATTAAATCCTTTAGAAAACCCCTTTTCCCCACGGACACAGACCTCCTTAGGGGTGTCAGAGACCAGTCCCTCAACCCCAGCACCCCAAAATGTTGGGGTTTCTATTGTTTGTCCCTTTCCTGCTCAGACCTGCTGCTCCCCACACTGGGTTTGAGGGATCCAAGACACTTTGGGGTTGTGTCCTGCTGGGAGACGAGCTCCAGAAGGATGAGCCCTTTGCACCCCCCAGTGTCTGTAGGACGAGGCAGCCCAGCTAACAGCGGTGATGTGAGCCAGGAGCACGCAGCTGGTGACATCCCCGTGTCCTTGTCCCCCCCGGTTCCTGTTTGGCAGGGCTTTGCTGCTCTGTAAGGCAGAGAGGATCTCAGCTGGGTGCTTAATATGCGGGTGGCATCCCCCTGCTGCCAGCGAGGGCTGCCCCCTCCCTTCCGCCCGCGGGGACACTGAAACAGCCCCGTTCTCGCTCCTGCCAGCGAGGGCACCTGTCCCCTTGTCCCCCTGTCCTCCAGCCAAACCTTCCCTTCCTCCGCTCCACCTGCGGGGCTGGGGCACCACAGCCTGCCCTGGGGCCAGGCACACAGAGGGATTTGCTGGGACAGTGTTGGACAAGGTTTCTTCTTCTCTTCAGTATATCTAATATCTAATATCTAATGTCAATGCATCTGCACAGCAGCTCTCTGGGTATAAAACCACCCCAAACCTGTGCTGCCAGGACACCAACCAGGCTGGGCTCCGCTTCCTAATTTAGCAAGGTTTGGCCACTCAGGGAAAATCCTCTTTGCAGTCTCAGGACCTCACCCAGTCTCTAGTGGGGTGTCTGTGCAAAGTAGGGGTCAGGGAATGGAGGGCACATTCTTGGGACATCAGGGGGCTGGGAGGAGGTGGTGGGAATGGCTTGAGGAGTGGCAGAGGAGCTGTGAGGAGGAGAGATGAGCCCTTTTGCTCTGTCTTGCCTGCAGCTGAGCAGTTCCCTCCTCTCCTGCTTGGTGTGAGCTGTCCCTTCCCCTCGTCTTGATTTGTTCTGGACACTTCTGTGAGCTCTGTCAGCATTTGCCAGCAGAGATCACGGGTTCCTTACTCCTGGAAGGGTTGTTTGGGGAGGGAGGTGGAAAAGTACAGGTGATTCCGGCCGTCTCTTCCCTTGCTGGTATCCCCTGGCTAGTAAAGGCTCCTCCTGGGCTTCTCCCAGGGGCTTGTTTACTTTGGAAGGTGCTCTGAGGTTCAGTGATGCTCATTGGGCAGAGCCTAGCCTGAAGGAGAAGGCAGTCCATGCACATGTGGAAGGTGGCACAATCCCACACCAAGGCCATCTTAGATCATTTCCCCGTGCTTTAAAAAAGCCTTGAATTTCAAAGTCTGGGCATGCATTAAGTGGGGTCAGGGAATTACATGTTTGCTAGGAGCCAGCAGACAGCTGGAGCTGCCAGTGTTGTGTTTGGAGGAAGAAGGAGCATGAAAAAGTCTGAGCAAACAAGCTCTGCCGAGCTGTCTTGTGCCTTAGATGGTAAAACAAATTTATTATAAAACAAACTTTTGGAGGCAAAGCCTGTGCAGTGAGGACATTGCAGTGTCTGTGAGCCCCTGGCTGGGTTGCAAATGGCCATTCCTGAATGCCTGGTGGTCAAAAGTCCTGAAATAACAGCTCAGGAGCCCTGCATACAGGGTTGCTCCATCAGGATAACGTGGTCCATGGTGCAAGTCTCCCTCCTTGTGGAGCAACCATGATCCTGCTATCCAAGAGGATGCTCTTTGGAGCTGGGCCACACCATGAGCTCAGCATCCATCCCCCAGCTGGAGGGACTTGGGAGGATCCCTGAGTGGCTCTGCTCTAGGAATACCTGGCACTGCTTTGTGAGCCCCACGGAGGGCAGAGGGCAGCAAGAGGGGTGCAGCCAAGGGGTCATTTTGGACAGAAGAAAACAGGGAAAAAGATTTTAGCAAGCAGGGACTTAGGCCCTTCGGCATCCTAAAGGAATCAACAGACACCAGCACTTTGTAGGATGCTGGAAACCAGCACAGAAAGGGCTGCTGAATATAGAATAAGAGAAGCTCCAAGGTCACCACCCTCTCATCAGGCCTGCCCTTGAATGCTGTGGATTGAGCAGACAACAGGGCACCCATGGGCTGAGCAGAATTTTAATACCTGATCCCACTTGCATCCTACATGGGGACTTCAGCTCCCAGTCACTCTATAAACTGAGCCTAGGGGCTCCCACAAACCCCTCTCAATGGTTCACCTCTCCAGCATGGCCCTCAGCACCAGCTGCTCGTTGCATTTCACAGCCATACCCCAAAGAAGAAAACCACGGGGTGTAGAGAGGGCTGAGGCTGACCCTCAGCACCCCCACAGACTCAAAGCCAGCTGCTCTGGGGAACTCTTTACCACACTCCCCCCAAGCTTGTAGCACCATCATCAGTTTATCCTGAGAGGAAAACACCCCACAGTGATGCACAGAGGAGAGTCTGTGCCACTGGGTCTGTGGGTCTTCCATGGGGACTCCAGCCTGGGGGCCTTTGTGGGCTGGGGGAGGACTCTGACGAGGTGGGTGCAGCCTTCAGGAGAGGCTCCATGGAGGTGGAGTGTGGTCCATGTGGCGCTGGCCCTGTCCAGGGTTACGTAAGCCTTTTGGGATGCCACGTTAGCGTGGGGAGGAGTCTCTGCCTGGCCACTTTGACAGCTCCTCCCCAAGGCCACCGGGCTCACCCCAGCTGCCCCTCGCTAACCCGGGCTCTGCTGCCTCCTCCCCCCGCAGCCATGGAGGCAGGGATGGGCAATGGCTGGGCAGAGCCCTCCCATGCCTCAGCTCCTGCCTGCACCCCAGCCTGGCAGCAGGGTCTCCTGCACCCACCCTCCCTCTGCTCACTGCTCATCCAAAGCTCTGAAGGGTCTGACATCCCCTCACACTGAGTGTAAAGGCAAAGCTGGTCCAGAAAAAGATTCTGCCAAACCTTGCTGGGGCCACAGTTTTCAAGGTGCAGATGGGTGACCAAATGTGACCCCCACTGCCTGGCCCTGACCTCCCTATGCAAGCAAGACCCTCTGAGCTTTACTCAGCAGCCACTCCCAGGCTGGAATTCCATTTGAAGCCAGAGTTGTTTGCGTGAGTTCCCATAAAGCTCCCTGCTGAACAGGTCCCTGCATGTTCAGTGCTGGCTCACCCAGATGTGCTGCAGCTGCCCTGGGTGCCTGGGGAGCAGGGCAGGGGACAGGGCAGAAGCCAGGCTGGCTCCTGCCACCTGCACAGCCCCTCTCAAGCACTGTGCAGGTTTAGAAAGCCATGCAAGGTTTAGATGGAGGTGAAATTCCCTTTAGCTCACACAAGTTTACTCCAAGTAAAACACAGCAGGGGAAAAAATCTCCCTACCCCATGTGCCCATGCAGAGTCACTAGACAGGGCTACACCACAACGCTGTGTGAACCCATTCATTGTGCTGAGAGCAGGGCAATGTGTGTGCTCAGAAATGCTCCAGATCTTACAGGGCTCGTTGATACAACAGCAAGAGCTCAGTCCCATCGCAGCTGTGTGCTGAGGCTGTCATAATTTCTCCAGGTTGCAAGTTGAATCCATACTAGAAAATAATTAAATTACTACCAAGAAAAGTGCCTGGATGACCCGTGGGCTGCAGGCAGCTGCTCATGGATGAGCCCTGTGCAGACAGGCGAGACAGAATTTTGCTGTTCTGCCTGAGCTTTTTCTTTAGTGTGGGCTGGACCTAAGGCTGTGTCAAAAGCAGCCCGGATGGTTCTGTGCCAGGTGCGGGAGGTCCCTCTGGCCCCCGGGGGTGCAACCAGCTGATCCCGCACAGCTCCACAAAGGAGGCAGAGAATAAACTGTCCGATAAATATCCTGCAAAAATTCAAGCCATCTCCAAAGCATTCCCTGGACCTGCCCTGCCACCGCCGCTCTAGCGATAACAGCCCTGACATCCCTCGGACCAGAGGACCCAGAAAAGGTTTCCATGGGAGCCGACATTCCTCTGGGGCTGAGTCACGGAAGAACAGAGTGTTGTGGAAGGAAGGGCTTGAAAAAAAGTTTGAAAAGTTTACTTGTGCTCTTCCCCTTCCCAACACCGCCCGCACCCCTGCTCCTGCATATGTGGCAGACAATGGCTTGGCTTTAGCTGCTGCCCAACAGCCTTTCATTTTCCACTTAAATCTCGTCTGATCCACCCTAACAAACGGCTGCAATTAACTTCTGTCCTTTTGGAGGGATGCTGAGTTTTTGGGCTGTTTCAAGGTCGCCTCTGAGGAGTTGGGAATACTGGTGACATTCCCGGTATCCTCCGTTTCACTTCAACTTGGAACCTTTGCCTTTTGATTTGGGTGGGAATTCAGCTCCCGACCGGTTAGATGTCCTTGTTTTTGGCTGGATGAAACAGAGTGGAGCTTTCTTAGAGAGGGGACACAAAGAGCAGGGTTAGATTGTCACGTCACCGGGCCGGGAAGGACAGCGGCTGCCTTTAAAGGAAACAAGCCCTCGTCTCTTCTGTATGGAACTAAAGTTGTGTCTGACCGAAACCCAAGTTTTTAAAATTTAAAAAAAATACCCCGAAAGATCTTTGCTCCTCCCCTCCTGCAGTCTCCATATCCCGAACAGTCGATCAGCCAGAGCTCGGCAAGCAAACTTGAAAGTAATTCAAAGTATACTTGGAACAAAAAGCCGAGTGTCTTTTTTTTTTTTTTTTTTTTTTCCAAGGGAGAAATAAGACCTGTAGCACTGAAAAAAATAAAACTGCTGACATGAAGTCGACAGCTCTTTTGTTCTTCCTCTGGATACTCTGGTGAGTAAAACATCGCCTGCCAACACACCTCAGGCTGGGAGAAGTGGGGGCTGTCCCTAACTAGATCTGATTTTCTCTGCAGACTGCTTTGATGTGCCCCGACCTTGGTGTCAAGGATCTCGCTAAAGCTGAAAACCCAGAAGGGGAAAAGGGAGGAGAGAGAAGAATGAGGACAAGTTAAACCTTTACAGTCAGATGCCACCAAAACATTAAAGCTCTGGCAGCGAAATTGAGTAAGAGACAGTTTAGAAGTGGAAATGCTGCAAAGAGGAGGAAGGGGTGAAGTCAGGAGGGGTCTCTAAATGCACCCCTTGGGGTGGAGAGCGTCCAGCTGCCCACCCCAAGTGAGGCATTGCCAGCACTGGACACACTCCCCGGGCTGGGACAGCGGGTCCTGGGCCAGGGACCCCCCGAGTGGAGCTTGGGGACCCCCATGTCGGGAGGAAAAGCACAGCAAAGGCAAACGCGAAGCTCGGGCCATACCTCGCAGTCCCGGCAGCACGGCTGAGGGAACTTCAGGCGCTTGGACAGGCTGGAGGAATCTGCAAGTTTTAGAAGGAGGCAGGAGGAAGCCAAAGGGTGGGCTGGGTTTCCCTCTGCCTCTCCCCCTCCTCCTCCTCTCTAGCTTTCCAAATCGGTCTTTTCCTCTCCTCCGCTTCCCAGTGGGCAGTCCCTGAGCCTGGCTCCAAAGGATAGACCAGAGAAATCAAGCTGGAGATCAAAGGGTCCCTGTCAGGGACAGAGCTGTCCCCAGCGCAGCCCTCCCAGCACAGTCACTGTCACAGCGGCTGCCTGCACTGCTGCCATGAGTTTGCAGTTCTCTTTCCTCTCGGACTGACAGCACACGGGGATGGGGCAACGCCATCTCTCCGCCTGGTTTTGCACCTCCTAACACCTCGACCTGCTGCAATTATAATGTTAAATGCTGTCATTTCTCAGCAGAGTAGCTCAGTCCCTGAGCTGGTGTTTCCCATCCTCAGGGGGATGCAGAGGAAAGCAGAATTTTTGCTTCTCCATCCTGTCTCCTAACATTGCTGGTATCTGTGGCTGCCTTGTGGAGAGGGAGAGGAAAGAATGACCCAGAGGATGTGCAGGATATCTGAAATGCTGTAAGTAGGCAGAGAAATGCTGGGCTGGCAGATGTGACTCTCAGCAGACTGGTCTCTCTGCTATGGTTATCATCCAGCAGATCTGGACTGATTGAACAAAACCCACAGCCAGAATTGCCAGTCAGCTGAATTCGGTGGCCTCTTCAGACACCACTCGCTATTTTGACTTTGTAGATGATAACTCATCTGGAGCAGCTGCCCAGCCAGAGGGGGCCAAGCAGCAAAGCTGTTTGGAGTCAAGTTTTCCCATCTGTTCCTCTCTATGCTCAAGGTGAAAACCCAGCTCTTCTCTCCTTGCTTCTCTCCATGGCTGAGAGGATCTGAGGTGCATCTGCCCCCCCAGCACCAGCATAGCCTTGGCACTGTACTGCAAAAGAGAACCAGTAGCCAAAAATTGCTGAAGTTTGGGTATCCTAAAGAACGTCTCCATGCCATAGAGGGCTGTCGTGAGCCCAGTGGAAAATCCAGCTCTTTGTAACTTGTGATCCTCCTGTGGCATCAAACCTCACCCTGGGCCTGCTCTCAAGGGGCTGCTGGAAAGATTGTGACTTGTGTAGCCAGCAGGACTGAGGACATCTGGGCACCAGCAGTGTGATTGTGGATGCTGGTGAAGGACAGCCGAGATCATAGCAAAATTCAACATCGTGTTTTGTCTTGGCTGCCTGAGGTTTGGGCTCATTCTTGATTATGTGCTATCTTTGAAAGGGCTGAGACATAGACCTGGGAGCTTAACTCTTCCCACTGATGTTGCTGTGGATTTAGATGTCACCACAGAGACTGGCCCATGGTGACCTGCCCGGCTGTGCTGGCTCCTTGCTCTGTAGGATGCCTCTGTAGGACAGTGGCTCTGTATCAGCTCACTCCTCATCTGGCCTCACAGCACTTCTGCTGCATGTGAGAGATCAGATGTAAGACTAAACATCCCATGGCCAACAAGGAACAAAATATAAACAGAACAGAAAGGGGAAAGAATGGGGGAGGAGTTCATGAAAACCCATCATCACTTCCCAGTGAACAGGTCAATCTTCATGATGAGGAAGCTCAGGAGGCTGCTGGCAAAGAAAAAGAGAAGAAAATCTTCTTCGCCCATTTCTTTACTTGGCTACACTTCCCAAAGCAAAAGCCATCCCTGGGTGCTGATATGTGGATGTTGATACCACTCACAGAGACCCATAAATATTCCATGTGAGCCTCCCAAGTCCCTGTGGAGGCTGGATTTATAATGGTGTCTCAGACTCCATGAGTCCTTCTAATGAAACCAACTGGAGCACCTTTTTCTCCCACCACAAGTGTCCGTAGCTCCCAGGTGCAGCCCAGTGCCACTTGTAGGTCCTGTTTGGCTCCAGAGGTGACACATCCCCTAAGCCAGAGTTTAATTTGCTTGAGTCATAACCCAAGGAGTTGAACACAGCTGTTGAATGCTCTCTGCAGTGGATTAGTCATGGCTCGCATTGAAATTGTACTGCTGCTGGTTCTTCTCCTAAGGAAAAAAAAAAAAAAAAGACATCTGGAAAAAATTTTAGAGAGGGAAAAAAAAAAGAAGAGAAAAGAAACCACGACTTCTCTAACTGACAACGTGGCAATTGCTCTGCACTGTAGCCTGAAGTTAAGCCCTCTACTAAGGGCTTAAACAAATGATAGTGCCACAGAGATAATTATAGCAGGGATTTCTTTATGGATGTGGTGGCATAGACCTTGGTCTGAGCGAGAGCAAAAAGCAGTGATGCAGTCACATCTGGAAATGGCCCCCAAGCTCATCCAGCAAGCCCAGGGGGCTGGGAGTGAGGGTGCTCATCGTGATCCATGCACATGGTGGGGACAGCCAGGTCCTGCACCTTGGGAAGGACAAATTGCCAGGCATCAGCAGTGGGATGGAGGGGGATCACAAAGAGCCTGGAGCAACTGGCTGGCTCTTTAAACTCAGCAGCTTTAAAGAGCTCCAGAAATAACTGAGTGCTTGCAAAGGAAGTCCTGGAAAGTCCTTTCCACTCTTGTAAGGATTAGTGGGGTCATCAAAAAGGAGAATTTGATGTCAGGCTGCCAGAAGGAAAAGTGGATCTCACACATATTTAGAAAGCTGTCTTATGCCATCTGGGGCACTGGATGGGCAGGGGATTGCCCAAGGGGCCTCCTCAGCCCTGGGAATCCTGGCAGGGCTGCAGCAGGTCCAGCTCAGGCTCCTGGCCATGTGCCAGTGGGTGCTCTGGGCACAGCAGATGAACCCCAGGGCTCCCGGTGCTCGCTCCCAGCTCAAGTGACTGCACAAACTGCGATGGAAAGAGCAAACAGGGCAAGACCCTTTGAGGCTTGAGCTCATTTTACAGCAAAGCCAAGAGGTCTGGAGGGGTGAGGTTTGAACTCCAGCTAACCTCAGTTCAAAATCCAAATTTCTTCATCCTGCTTTGAGCCAGGCTGGGCAGATCTGGGCTGGTGCAGTTGAGAAAACCTTGGTGCTTTCCAAGAGGGGAACAATTCTGCTGTAAGAGATGGAGAAAAAGGCAAGTGAGCAGCTCTGTAGGAGTGATACAAGTGTGGATTAATAATCCTGCTGTCCCTTGCTCACAAGTCTATCAGTGTGAGGAGCCTTTCCTTCCCTCTGCTCTGGGAGGGATTCCCTAATGAGTTTTCTCTAGAGGATGTGTCTGCATTAATTTCTGGTGGATGCTGCTGCAAAACAATGAACTCAAAGTGCATATAAATAAACAGGATGCCCTGGAACCACGATGGGAATGTAATTTGCTAAGTCTTCATCCCTGGATGTATGGCTGAAGGCTGAGCTCCTCACACATGCAGGGCAGTGTGGGGGAAGTCAATGGCTGCAGGGGTGGGAGTCCAGCACTCAGCTCAGGAAAATCTGAGAGTAAATGCAGAGCAGAGAGGAATCTGCTTATCCCAGGAATTTCCCATCTCTCCTGCTCTCTGGGAGTGTGTCAGCTGAAGGGTTTCTGTTTTTTTCCATTTCAGCAGCAGATCAGAGGCAGAAGGGCTGTGTTCTCTGGGCTTGCACTAAGCAGATACAGGGCCACTGAGAGCGCCATCTGCACAGGGCAGGATGAACACAAAATGCCCTTGGAACACGCCTGAGAGTGGCTGTGAGAGTGGCTGTCTTTATCCTACATGGGGCAAGGAATTCTTCCCAGTGGCATGGGACTGTCCCTCAGCTGAGCTGTTGGACTGATGCCTGGTTCAGATGGAGCAGATGGACACTCACAGTCTCTTTCAATGCCTGCACTGGGGTGCTGGTCAGAAGCAGATCGAGAAGGAGAAGTGGATATCATTGCAGATTCTCAGCTGTAATCCAGAGGCCAGCAGGGCAGGAGATGGAAAAGCAGCTGTGCATGGCTCTGCAGTGAGTCATGGCCTGGGAACAGGCTGCAGAGCTAGACAGCAGAACAGGATTACTGTGGGATGTCTTGTTCTTTCCATGGTGTGTGTGGACTCACAGCTATCCCAGGGCTCTCTGGTGGAAGGCTCTTCCATGCCCCATGGTGAAGGTCTCTCCTCTGCCTCTTTCGAACTCCCCCTGCATTATCATCTCACTCACTTGGAAATGTGTGGGGCTGCAGGCTTGGGAGAAGCCTTTCTGTCCTCCCTGAAACCAAACTGAGGCGAAAGAAGCAGGGGAATAAAACACCCAGAAAGTGTAGTGAATGGAACTCCTCTGGCTGTAGCCTCCCACCCTGTCCCTGTGGCAGAGTCCCCACAGCTCTGCCTGGAGACATCACACTAGGCACCAGCAGACAGGACATGTCCTCAGCTCATTTGAAACTCCCAGAACATCCAGCCTGGCTGAGCTTGGTCCCAGCCCAGCACCTACAGTATCCAAAGAACCGGAATGTCTGTCCCAAAAGGGCTCTCCCTTGCTGCAAGGGGCTATTCCCCATCTGTCTTGGGCACAGGGATGTTGTGTGCCTGAATTACAGTCGGGTGTCTCAGCCCAACTCTACTGTTGCTTGAGACCTTGTGCTGTAGTTGTGCCTGTGACTTGCAGAAGGTGAAATAAAACTTCCAGGAGGGAAGTGCTGCTAACTCCAGGTAGTCCCACCTTGCTCCTGGTGTTTACCTACGATGCACTTTTGAGTCCTCTTGAGCCTGACAGATGCGGTTTGGCTGCTTCTGAAGGATATGAATAGAACTGCTTGAGGAAATAAACAGGAATCCACTCTCAAGCCCCTGGGACATGTGGGGAGGGGAGCTCCTGGGCTGCAGTGGCAGCTCTTTTCCATGGAGAAACACAGGCTAAAAGGCAGCTTTGATGGGGATACCCAGGTGAATCTGTGCTAGCCCCAGAATATCAAATGCCATCTGGAAAAGAGTGGCAATAACCATAGGTGAGGAAAAGACCAGGAAGGCAAATTCCGGGGTTCTCAAGGCTCTCTGGGGCCAGTTGCATTTGTTTTTTTGGGTCATGAGTGTGAGGTCCTCTAAGAGAAGCTTGATTCTCAGATGAGTTGG